CGCTGCGTGCGCTGTAACTCACACGCGCGGTTATTTAATAATCGCGCACATCTGCGAGCAGTAATGCTCTATTTGTCAACGTATCTATTGTTCGGACGAATAAACGCGCACAGCGCACACGCCGCAACGAGTCTATAAACACACGTGTCTATAAACACACGTGCAGCGTGTGTAGGTCTACATGCTATATACGCTGACGGAGTGCAATCATGCGTTCATACAAAGCACGTGAGTCCTACGATTAACACACGTGTACGCCACATCGACTCGACTCAGCGTGTTCTGCATAATAAATACGCCGAATCAAGCGCACACAATTGTCTGATGATGATGATGATGATGATATCTGCCTGCTGATGATTGTCGTCTCGTCAGTCTGATGATGATGATGATGACTCCGGCAATCTTGTATTCTAAATGTCGTATTTGCCGAGCAAAACAATTCAGTATTGTTAAGGAAACAAAGGTGATGGGCTCTAACTCGTTACGAGTACGATTACGAATTTGTAATAACCAGCATTTCCACGTGGAGGACTAGCACATAAGCGGTTGACAATCATTAACAGGCGAAATCATCGGTGGGTTGGTCATGCAAAGGGGACATGGACTTAATGAAATATGTACACGCGCATATACATACGCAGACACACGTATATATTAAACGCGCATGGGCCAGTTTTCATCAAAGGCGTCTAATTTCTTCACCGATGTAATCTGGGTTCCGCCTCGCCCCCCACCCCACCTCCGATACTTTTTTCAAAAGAGCCCACACGGCTTGACTTACAGTGCGCCCCGTGATAAATATAGGCAAGGACAAACTCAGCGAGCCAATTAGCGATATTTCACGATACTGCCGAAAATAATACAAAGTTTAATTAATATTTGATGCGCGCGCCGAATTAACTGCACGCAGCAGCTCTCTCTCCCTCTCTCCCTCTCTGTCCTATTTCCGAACTCAAATGCTCACGCGATGATCAATGTCAACGTGTGTTGGCGTTTTCCAGAAGGTGTACAAACTCCCCAGAACGCGTAGAATACGACTGGACAATGCAACGTGGAATGTGTGCAGAGTACGTAAATGCAATCGCACCCCGAGACGCTGTACGAGAAGCCAGCGGTGGCATGCTGCATCGTGTAGACTTGTACTATTAATCTAGAGAGGAGAGAGTCGTAGGATAGAGTAGGAAGGGATCGTCTTGAGTTTTGACTCGAACAGCAGGACATGGAGTCGACAGCACGGATGATCGTGTTTATGATAATAAGCGGCATTTGTAGCAACCTTAGTAAAGCAAAACTATTTTCACGTACTTTTGACAATCCAATGTACATTTTAACGTTGCTGAAACACACACATTTACACAAGTGGTTTATGTACGTTTACAATAACGCGTCCCATGTGTATATGCATGCACGCATTCATACATACATACATACGCCGTCTGTCACCCGAAACGTTATATAAAGCTACGGGTTGTCCCATTCCTATATATCGCAATGCACAATACATCACGCGCGGGCGACACGGCACGCACGCGGCGCGGATTCAGCACGCGTGCAAGAATAACACACGGAGGGAAATTAGCGTCGTCTCTTTATTTAGCATTAACAGAAGACAGAGTCACGCACGCACACACAGAGAGAGAGAGAGAGACAGAAACCGAACCCATGAAGCTGAACCGACGATAAATCTATCCAAATATAAGTACAACTAAAACCGTGCACGGTTTGTCGTCGGACGATATCATACAAACACACACCACACACCACACCACACGTGAAGCTTGCTTGCTTGCGCCTTACCTGTTCGGACTGAAATTAAGAAATGAGTGGCCGGCGGCGCTAAAGGCTGGGCTCGGAATAAAGACGCAGCCTAGGCGAACGAGACAGTGATGTATGGCGTGCCGCGCGCGAACGCGACGGCCGATATTTGATCATAAATACACAAATTAAAAGCGAAATGCAGCGGCGCGGCGCGCAGACGCTCTAGGGCTTATCTCGCAGAGAGATGCACGCGGCGCAGAGCGCGCGCGTCGAGCGCAGGGTCCACAGGGACGCGAGAGAACAAGAGAGGGGAGGGATGAAGGGAGGGGGGGGAGCTGGAAATATTATGATGATGCAAATATATATATATAAAACACAGCGCAACGTTCGCGTAACGTCGGTGTTAAAGACGTCGAATTGAACCGAAACCGTTTTCTCTAGCTTTGCTAAACATGTCATATACCCCGTGAGTATATAACACACACTGTATATATACTGTATATATATACTGTATATATAAGGCATCGCATCCTATGGATGTAGGGGTCGTCCGCTACGCCGTGTGCGCTGCAGCGCGTGCGTGCACACGTGCCCTCGTGCAGCGATCCCGGGTAACAAATCCGCGGCTTATTGCGCGTTGCGTGGATGGTATCGGGGTCTCTCTCTCTCTCTCGGTCTCAGTCACAGTCGATCCGAGATGCGGGACGAATGGTTCTGGCCCTGACCAGCTCTCGGCTGACCGCCCCCCTGCCCCCCCACCTCCAAGGATGTTGACAGAGCCATCATTTTTCCTCCTCTCTTGTTTGATATAGACCCTTGCGGCCAAGCAGATGCCTCTGGCAGAAAAACGTGAGTGAGGAATCTCCACGTCGTTATGTTTTTGTCGTGTTCTATTTTGTAAAAAAAAAAAAAAACATTTTGTTGGGTTGGGGTTCGGGGGAGTTGAGGCTACGGTGTGTACAAGCGGCATACTGCAATGTGTGTACGCACATAGGCGATGTTCTGCTTGTGTTTGGCTCGTATATGCGCCCTCTATGGTGCAAAATGTACACGGGACAAAGACGAAAAATGCAAAGGTATCGCCCCCCGCGCTCAGCTTCCCATTCTGAAAATCCCTCAAAACTATTGAGACGAGGTTAATGTCGGACTGATTCATTTTTACGGAACTCTACTCAAATGAATTGCTGCGTTACAAAACGTGAGCACACGCACGCGGACGCATGCACACATTCAAAGACTCCCCCCCACCACCTCCCCCCCCCCCCCCCCCCGAAGGAAAAAAAAAACCTTGCAGATAATTAGCGTAAACGCTGCTAGCTAGCTATTATCATGGCCAGAGCGGCGCACGAGGCCATAGTGTGGCCAAATCCACGCCCGGTCGCCTTTGTCTCCCCAAATAACAACGTTGACAACACCGGACACTACTCATTTAGAGGCTGAACCGATCCACAACTCGCCCGCTTGTGTCGTCTGGTCACACGCAGGCGCGCGCGTTTAAAGTTTCGAAGTGAAACTCGACAAATGTTCTAATCCGGTTCGAGTTCGGGGGCTTCTCGTTGAAACTGCGCGATCGGCACAGCGGGCATACGAGCGTACGCAGAGGAGTGAAGGGGTTGACGGGATAGCGTTTACGCATTAATTGGGTATCGTTTCTCGTTTTTTTTTAGCTCAACTGTTTCGTTCCCTCCCCTCTCCAACCTTCAACCCCCCCCCCACCACCACCACCTATTTATCCCCCTCCCCATTCACCCCAACCACACCACCCACCCACCAGCACACCCTCTCAACACGCCCAGTTCAATCACGCAGCTCCACCTCCCTCCGTATCCCCAAACACTCGAGAAGAGTAAACGTGCGAACGTTCATTTCTTAAGAAAGAAAGAAAAGAGCAAGGAGGGGATTCCGAAGTGTCAAACTTTGTGTGAAACTACAACTGCGTTAGAGAGCTGCGCGACTGTAGATATGAACGTGTAAATAAATGCGTGCTACAAGGAGGTCTCGGCGCGGAGACGGAATGGTACAAGGCTGGCTCATGGAAATATTATCGGTGTAAGAAACTACCACTAGAGTACATACATATATGTATATATATATAAACAATTCCCCGTAGCAGTGTTCTGGATTGTTCCGACTGAAGCTGACCCCCCCACCCATGCTGGGCATGTGTGTACAAAGAGCTTCAGAGCTCATCGGATTCCTCCCGCAGTCTAAATAAAGATGCTGACGCACGAAGTATGCGCGTTAACGGTGCGTGTCTTGTTTTGTTACACATTTCTCAAAAGTCAAAACTTTATACGTCACGCGCATGCCCCCCCCCCCCTTCACTGCCCTGTCTCCTACAAGCCCCCACGCTTCCCCACCATCACCACCCATCGATACTGCCTTGCAAGGAGCGGCGACGTTGATACTCGCGCCCCTAACATCTTTGCGCGACCGTCGTCTTGACCGTGTCCGTCTCTTACCGAGCCATTGAATTAAAAGTTGAGTGGCCGATCGGCGCAGCGAGTGAGGAGGAGGCGCTCCAGGTTCTATAATCAGACGCCAGCAGCCGTCCGTGTGCAAGAAGAAGTCGGCACGCTCGTGGCTCAGAGGGCCATTGCTTTACAGGCATCTCCGCTACTGAAGAAGGGTCATAGCCTGAAACGTCACACATTGCATGTACGGTACTTATTTTAGCTCAGTGCGTGTTAGGCGCGCGGGGGGTGGGCGGCGGCGGGGGGTTATTGAGCGTTGCTTGCGCACCGCAGACAACGCGGCGTCACCGCACGCCCGAGGAGACCCATCCCGGCAACCCAACGTGGCTGGGAAGAGCGCACGAGGCGAGCGTTGACTCTGAACTAGACCCAAACTCCGGAATGGGCAATTAATCCCCCTGTAGGCACGCCGCAGTTGAAGTTGCCCGGGCGAGAGCGCACAAGGATGGGAGGGACGAGAAAATCTAAGGGGTGGAGGAAGGGGGGGGGGTTGAGGAGGGGCGGGGGAAGGGGTGAGGGGGAGGAGATGCAGGCGACGTCTTGCACAGAGAGGCGCGCATCGCTTCCGGGTTTCTTCTCCGCTTCAACCTCCCCCCTTGCGCTCCCTGACCACCCCCAACCCCCTGCAGCTCCCTCCCTCCCCCTCCTTTCATTCACCCCCCCGCTCCTCCCCACTCCCCCCAAAAAAGCCTCCACCCCCCGTCACTCGATCGGCAAAGAACCCCCCCCCCCTGTAAAAAAAGCTCACGCAGAGAAGGGGGAAAGAGAGCTGAACGCGAGACTCGTCAAGGATCATCTATACAGCAGCAGCAGCGAGGAACGTCCCTCACCGAGCGGACCGCGTGCAACGAGGCTACGCTCGTGGTCTCAAGCCGTCTCCTGCGAACCGACACACGGGCGACACTCCCCTTCTACCCTCCTCTTCCCCCCCCCGCCCCCCTTTGTACCCCCCCTCCCCTCCCCAAAAATAAGGGGGACCTCCCCTCCCCCGGAGCTCCGCGCATCTGAGCGAAGTTTCGTCGGCGAGTCATCACTCATCCCTTATACCTTGACAGCCCCTCGCCTCTCTCTCACTGATTGACAGCGAGGGTGGCATAGCGCCATAAGATACGACAGCGGCGAAGTTGCAGGCTTCGTGTTGACTACGACTACGCATTGCTCGCTCCGAGAGTTACGTGACATTTTTATATACTTGCAAGTTTTCAAGGTGCTGCTGCTGCTGCTCGTGGTGGCTGGTGGTGGTGGTGGTGGGGGGTGGTTGTGGGTGAGCAACAACAACAAAAAAGCGAGAGAGAAAATTTTTACTGAACTGCAACGGCAAAAGCGAAGAGTCATTTAAGAAGAGGAGAGAGAAAGAGAGAAGAGAGGAAAGAAAAGGGGGGCTGAAAGTATTGTTGTTGCTGAAGACGGCACGGCGAAGAAAGCAAGACTTTAGCGGCGAGCGAGTGTCGGGGATTTCTCGTTGCTATTAATTGACGCCGTCGTTGTTGACGCTGCCGCTGGTGTTGTTGTCGGATATACTGCGCTACAACAGCGAGCCTACAACTGCCCGATGGCGCAACGGGTAAGGAAAAGGGGGGCTTTTCGTTTGGCAAATCCGCTTTGCGTACTTACCCATCCAGAGCCGAGACGCCATCGGAGGAGGAGGAGAGGGGGGGGGTCTGGGATTCCCTCCTTATACCCCTGCTGCGCGGCCGCCTGTCTGGCTGCGGCGTTGAGAAGGGGCTGGCTGTGCCGAGCTGTCGTGTACAAGCTCAGTGTTGGCCCCCTTTTCTCTCTCTCTCTCTTCTCCCCCGACCGGCCGGCCGGCCGAAGCGATGATGGCGCTGTGCAACCACGTAACGTCCCTTCCCTGCCCTCTCCTCTCTCGTCGCGCGCGCCGTTCGCTCGCTCCTCGTCGTCGGCGTCCTCGAGAGGCCCCCTTAGCGTATTTAGTCATCTTCTGTCGCTCGCTTCTTTTGATTCCTGGGGCTGGGTCCGCTTTGCTCGGCTACGCTGTTCGGAAATGCGCTAGTTGTAAATCGCGCGACTTTTGAACGCGCTAGCAAAGATCGGCGAGCGGGAGAGGCGGGGGGGAGAGACGGCTGGGAAACAATTCTCTGCGCGCGTGGTGCGTGCGAGGCTTCTTCTGTGTTCTCACTCACACTCGTGTGCGCGTTACCTTTCTACGATGTCCGTGCTTGATTACAGCTGCAACCGCGAGTTTCTCGACTCGCGCTGTTTCTAGTAGGCTCGCTCGAATAGCCCTCGCGTCTCGCACGGCGTGCGGATGCGACGGGGGCCTCCTCCTCATCCAGCAATGGATCGACTCAACGGGCATGTCCGCGCGAACGTGCACGCTGCCGTAGTTTCGATGTTGAATGGGGCACGACGCGTCGGCGGTGATCAACGGCGGAGAAGCGAGCCGATGACATCCGCACGTGCGCGGCGACGTCTTTCGGCACCGGCCGCGTCTAACGCATTAACTCGCTCGCGTGCACGCGTTACAAATACACAAACATCATCTTCCACGTCCTCCTCTCTCTCTCTCGCTTTCTCTCTCTCTCCCCACAGTACGATGATCTGCCGCATTCGCATTATGGGGCGATGGACGGCGTGGGCTCCATGTACGGCGAGCCGCACGCACCTAGACCCATGCAGCCGGTGCCGCACCTCAACCACGGCCCGCCGCTCCACCAGTACCCGCACAGCACCCACGCCGGCGTTATGGCCGGCTCCATGGGCTCAGCTGTCAACGACGCGCTCAAGAGGGATAAGGACTCGATTTACGGGTGCGTAATGGAGCAACGCTCAACTCGGTGTTTAACCTCGTGCGCACTGTGCTCCGCGCGGCGTACGTAACGTATGGCAGTGTGTGCGTTGTGGCGGTGTGTTGAGTTGTTCGGTCGTAGAGGTGTTCGGTTGTTAAGGTGGCTCGATTGTTAAGGTGTTCGGTTTGGGTGTTCGGTTGGTGGGTGTTCTGGTTGTCACTTGCCGCCTTGACAGATACACATACATACATATACACACACATAACTAGCCACCTCTTTGCACTACTTAGATTTAAAAAAATATTTAAAAAAATACAACCGAGAAGACTCGTATTGCACCGTCATACAGTCAGCACGTGTCTCGTGTTTTATATATGTATATACACATATATATACAACACACACAACACACACAGGCAAAGGCACACGCGCGCGGGCACTACCTTAGCGCGCACCCTGCGCTCACTCGCGAAGGCGAGGCGCACATTTCAAGCCGATAACGCCAGGCAACGGGGCTTTGACAGACTCAATTAATAATTGTAGACAGACGTTGCTTAATTGCGGCTGTCTAAATTACACAGCAGCGGCGCGCCTCGTAACGCCGAGTGACGGAGTGCGCGCGCGTGGTTCTTTTGGCGCTTGGATTGTCGCTCATTATACGAAACATTGTTTTCTTTATTCCGAACGCAGATGGACATCCGTCAAGATGTACACATTTGTAGAAGACACATTTCACACACGGAATATACACACAGACAGACAGATATATAAGCGACTCGGATAGCAAAATGGCTACTCTCTCAAGCAACCCTTGACCATAGCTCAACTTATTAAAAGCATCGCATTAAAAAAAAAGCAGCGACGCGGGTTCGCTACCCACCATCAGAGCAAATTTGTATCGCTGTAATTATCAGCGTCAATTAACGGCGGTCTAGTTTGATTGACGAAAGCAGGCCGAGAGAGAGAGAGAGAGGTGTGTGAGCTTTCAAAGCGTTGCTTTTTGTCAGCTTCAAAAAATTTAATACTCACGCACGCGTACACACAGATCTCTCACCACCACCGCATTGGTGTGCACAAGCAGCAGCAGCAGTTAGGAGCGACACAACGCGCTTCGTTAGCGTGCCGGCTAGCGTCGAGTTGCGTACGAACGCACCTAGACGCACACGCGCGTAACGTACAGGCTACGCGGCGGCTGCGTTTGCCGTACACAATTCTGCGCGCATTCGATATAATTTACGAGCCGAAGTCACCCGCGAGCTTTAAACGTATTACCAACGCGTAAGAAGGGGGCCTACGGGCTCCGTGCGCGTTGGTAAATTGAGGGAGCAAGAGGATTTGTCGGGAAACTTCACGCGCGCGTCCCGAGCACACACAGCAAGCAGCTGCAGCCCATGCTGCTGCACTCCGCTGCACGGCTGCACTATCGTCGCAGCACGCGCGCGTCACGCAGGCAACAACAATAATAGCAACAGCAGACAGATGATCGTGGCGATTGTTTAATTGGTGTTTTCAGAGTCTGGGTTTGTGTTATATGCATGCTTGCGCGCGTTCGTACGTGTGTGTATGTATATGTGTGTGTATATGTAGGTATGTGTGTCCGCGTGTGTGTATGCATTTTGTGTATATGTCTGTGCGCGCGCGCGTGTATGCATGTGTATATGTGTGTATTTTTGTAAATGTATGCATCTGCATATGTGTCTTCAGCGCGTATGTGGTGGCCATCTACAGCTACCATTTCTCCCTGCGCGTGTGTTCGCATGTGTATATCTATGTGTGTACGCGTATGTGTATATACGTGTGTCTACATCAGTATACACACTCCCTTCCCGCTGCCATGTAGTATGTACGCATGCGTATCTGTGTACGAATGCATGTATGCGTGCACGTATATATTCGTATGTGTACGCCTGCACGCACGTGTGTGTGTGTGTGTTCGCGCGCGCGTGTACACATCGGAATCTACAGCTCTCCCCTCTGCTGCGTGTGCATGTGTGAATGCGCGTTGTGTCTACACATGCGTATGCGCCAAGTGTATACGTACGTGCCTTTCTACGTGCGTATACGCGCGATGTGTGCGCGCTGTTCGTGCGTGCACGCGTGTGCGCATATCCGGAAGCACAACGCTCTCACCCAGCCGCTGCGTACGCACGCACGCGCACGTGTGGGTGCGCGTGCGTGTGCACGTGTGCGCGCGCTCACGTATCTCGCTGTGCGCGCGCGCGTGTCTGTGTGGTGTGTTTTTGTGTGCGCGCGCGCGCATTAGGCGCTCGCTAACAGCAACTTGCCCCAACAGTCTGTTAAGGCTTTAAACGTGGGGGGGTGGGTGGCGGTGTGGGTGGGTGTGGTGGGGTGGTGATGTTTTGTTTTTTTCCATCCGCAGCCACCCGCTCTTCCCGCTGCTGGCGCTCGTGTTTGAGAAGTGCGAGCTGGCGACCTGCACGCCGCGGGAGCCCGGTGTGGCTGGCGGAGACGTTTGCTCGTCAGACTCGTTCAATGAAGACATAGCCGTGTTCGCAAAACAGGTTTGCGACGAGGCGAGTGAATCGCTCAATGCGCCATTCGCATTCGCACCACGACTCATTCATCCCGGTTCCTTGAGACTATTATACTACAAAGACAAAGATACCCCGTATAGCCTGCAACGGACTGTTGGGGCAAGTGCTGTTAGCGAGCACATTTGAAGGCCAGAACGGCACACGAGGGGGTGGGTGGCCAGCACCACGCCCGGCCGCCTTTGTCTCCACAGTGGCGATGTTTACACACCGCACCGGGTACTCATTTTGGGCTGAGTCGACCTAAGGGAGGTCCAGGACCGGTTCAGATAATCGTCACTGATTTTGGCCGTGAGCGGAAATCGAACTCGGGTGGCCAGGTTCGCTGCGCAGCGCGCTAACCGCTACACTACTGCTCCCCACTATTATTAGTATGATACTGTTCACACATACACACACACACGCACCTACAAGACTAAGGATCCCCCAGTCGTCCCCGTAGAGCCTTAACAGAGTTTGGAGGCAAGTGCTGTTAGCGAGCACCTATGAAGGCCGACACGCGCACGAGAAGGGAGTGGGGGGCTAGCACCACGCCCGGCCGCCTTTGTCTCCCCAAGTAACCATGTTTGCACACCCCACCGTACACTTGAGTCGACCTAGGGGAGGGCCAGGACCGGTTCAGATAATCGTCACTGGTGTTGTTGGCTGTTGACCCGGGAATCGAACTTGGGTCGCCTGGTTCGTAGCACAGCGTGCTAACCACTATGCAACCGCTCCCCACAGCATATATATGTACACACACATACAGATTGATAGACACATAAGGCGCAATGCGTGATTATACGATAAAAAAACAACTAGTGTGTGTTTATATTATATTGATAATTTAGCGATTGTGTAGGTTTACACACATGAATCGAATCACAAATAATCGGGGAAAGACACATTTTTTATTTTTTTATTTTCTTACTTCGCTCGTCCAACGTAGTTTGTGGTACATTTTGAAAGCGATACATAATTATTATTTGGTACGAAATAAACACACGCTAATTTCGACAACAGAGAGGAGCTAAAAATAGTGGACGCGGAATGTGTGATGTGTATAAGAAATGTCCGCTGCGAATGTGGACCCGTTTTTAAAGTGTCATCGCTTCTTCAATGTAGCCTTTGCTAACAGCAGCGATTCTGCCCAGCATTGAAACTCTCCGATTTCGCTCTTAAAGCTGCTATTAGGACGCTGTTTTTGCGGCTAAGTTCTTCCGATGTAATCCATTAAGCTTTTATTCTTAAATTGTATATCGCAGATACACCCTCAAGGTTCATTCTTCGGCTATATCTTTCGGATATATCTTTACGTTTCATTCTACCCACAGTTGCATTCTTGAGATCAGATGCTGCCTGCTGGTCTGCCCTCCGCACAGATCCTTCAATCAGATTCTCGAGCAGTTGATTCCTCGATGATGCTCGTCGTGAACACTTTCCATCCACCTGCGTTTAGTGCGTAAACACGACGCGTGTGCGGCCCGTGCCCACGCATTCCGAGTTTGTATTATTAGTACACGCTTTCGAAACACGATATTGGAACTCCCGCTGTTGACACGATATTATCGGCGATTGTTGTGAATGCGTTTAATGACGGTGGCGATGCTTGGCCGTGTTTCATTTATTTTGTTTGTGTGTCTCTCTCTCTCAAGACGTTCAAAAGGAAGAACACGTGTGGGGGGGGGGGGGGTAGCGTTACGCACGAATGCATCGCCACGCACACAAACATACACACACGCACCTGTCATATTACACGCGTCTTACGTCGATATATACGATTAGATCGATGTTTACAAGGCGCGTTGTTTACAACAAAGCGCGCCGCTTTCGTGCCACGACTCGCGCTTGTAACGCGCGCGGCCCTCGCCGTTTCCCATTAACGAATACAATCGTGCGTCTTTCCCCTTCTCTTCCCTGCCGCCGCTGCTGCTGCTGCTGTTGCTGCTGCTGCTGTTGCTGCTGCTGCTGTTGCTGCTGCTGTTGCTGCTGTTGTTGCCGCTGTTGCTGTTGCTGCTGTTGCTGCTGTTGCTGCTGTTGCTGCTGTTGTTGCTGCTGCTGCTGTTGTTGCCGCTGTTGCTGTTGCTGCTGTTGCTGCTGTTGTTGCTGCTGCTGTTGTTGCCGCTGTTGCTGTTGTTGCTGTTGCTGCTGTTGCTGCTGCTGTTGCTGCTGCCGCTGTTGCTGTTGCCGCCGCTGTTGCTGCTGCCGCTGTTGTTGTTGCTGCTGTTGCCGCCGCTGCCGTCGCTGCTGCTGCCGCCGCTGCTGCTGCCGCCGCTGCTGCTGTTGTGGTTTTGCTGCTGCTGCCGCTGCTGCTGCTGCCGCTGTTGCTGCCGCTGCTGCTACTGCCGTTTGCTTCACTAAAGGTGCGGGCAGAGAAGCCTCTGTTCTCATCAAACCCAGAGCTCGACAACTTGGTAAGACACACATTTAAACAACCCCCCCCCCCCCACTTTCTGACCGTACAATTTACCGACACGGTTTGTTTAGCCTCGATGCTATCTGCGCCTTAAATGCGCCCTAATGGACATTATCGATGATATCGCGTAATCCAAGATCAGAAGATCTGTTAGCGTTAAACGACAGACAATCGCAACGCACTCGTGCGTCTGTCCGTGTCCCCCTGGCATTCTCGTCGAGTCTCGCCTTGGAGAAGCACTCACCCCCTTACCTCCCCCTCGTCCCCTCAATGTAAAGCGACTATCATAACAGAGCACGAACGATAGACAACAATCAACCGATAACACGTTCGGACATAACCCTAATCCCCCCCCACCCACTTCCCCAGCCGCTCTTACGAAAATCTTCGTATCAAAACGATGAATGCGTTACCTTGCAGAAGGCGATACTGGCATGCAAGACTCCATGTGCTTTCCGTAGAGAAGTAGAAACGGTGCTGCACGTGCGCCCCGTTTGGCCCCGCGATGTTACCGAGAAGGGAAGACGGCTCACAAGAAATCGACGAGACGTTATTCACGCCGCGTGAAACTCGCGTGCCCAGACGTTTGAGGATTGATGATAATACGAAGCTGTGCGCTGCACACTGTTACGAGTTCGCATACTAGATGGGGGATGTCTGATTCAAATGCGTTAATACGTGGATAAGTATACCTCCGTTTGTCTATCCACATACAAAATAAAATGTTGTGGGTCGACGGATGCGCTTTCCAGCGTAACCTTAGCCAGTCGCGTGTGTTTAACCGCGCGAAACTCTGGACGGGTTTTGACTTTCACGGGCTCATCAGCGGCGTTCCAATCTTTTGTATGATAGAAGGTAGCCGACTTTTCATAACATGCGCTAATGCTGTAAGTATACATTCTTGAAAAAGCATATACTTTGTTTTAGTAACAATGCAGTGGATTAGCATTTAACGTCTAGTTACAATAATATCCTAAACCCTGTGTGCATCGATATTAAAATAATTGCGCTGTGTTGAATTGCAACAGCGCTCCTTGCAATTGGTGTAATTGCGCTAAGGAGTGGATGCTGCCTTTTCTTTCCGCAGATGATATTAGCCATTCAAGTATTAAGATTTCACCTCATGGAGCTCGAGAAGGTAAGGGCCGATTTCCTATTACTATTTTACCCCCGGCTACATGTTCGTTTAAATATGCGTGCGTGCAATATTAGGGTATGGACTCAGTGAGTTTGCAATGCGTCGTGCTCACGTGACGTTGATTCTAAGACGCTTTGCCTACTTGTTGCAATTATCACAATGTTATTTACTCTGCTGGTAAGAATGCCGCGATAGTCAAACGCCGATTCTAATCACGGGCGCCCGAATCAATACAACGGCGTGTCGAGGCCAGTGACGCATCATTGATACTGTTAAGTCCACACTTGCTTTGTTCAGTTTTTTTTTGCTGACAACGCATATTATGCCTTTGCGCGTTAAGATAACGCGAAGTGGTTTTTTTTTTGCTTCTTAAATTCGTCCTTTCGTTTATTTGCTTGCTCTAAGCTCAAAAAAGTGCGCGCGTGGCAGCTACATTGGCCATCGGAAGCCGTGCGAAGTTTCACGCATTGTAGCGGCGGCAGCGTCCGTATGCGGCCTCAGTATCGTTGAGAACTGCGAGACAGAGAGAGAGAGAGGAGGAGAGATCGAGGGACGCGACTCGGCGCCTTAACGCACCGCACAGCAACAATGGCAACGATTCAGAGAAGATATCAAAAACACCCGATTACCCAAAGCCACTTTCGCTCAGCACCGTTGAGTTTTGAGATACCTTCAGCCGTAGCCACGTCTAATTAGTATCAGACTGAAAAGACGGGGGGAGGAGCTGGGGGGTAGAAGGGGGGGGGGGGATGGTTGACTTCAAGTCTAGCCGTCAGAGATTGATGGCATCTGCCAAGTGCCCGGTCAAGATACACTCACATCTGGAGTATTACTCGGGAGCCTGGCGTTCAGTTGAAAACGGCGGGGGGCAATCGGCCCAGCTTCCTTGGGGGGGCGCGGAAGTGTTGGTGGGGGGTAATCGCCAGGTACATAGACACAGGCGACCCTGTACGACTCGATGTGTGTTGATATCCAGTGCACTGTATGTGTCACGTGTTGCACGGCTATGCTTGAGCAGTGGGTGCGCGCGCGCGCGTTACACACGGAGACTCGCGTGCGCGCGCGCGCATCCGTGGGTACGGCTCACGTCACGTGGGTGTGAGTACCTGCAAGTTCTGTGCGTGTCGACTGCTGTAGACCACGACTCCAATGTTTGAGTTGCTTGTGTTTTTTTTTTGCTGTACGCTTGCCTCGCGCTAAACTCCACGCGTGGAATGGCGACGCATGCACGCTGCGTCGTTTTTCAACGTCATAATTATTCCCGAAAATACGACAACTTTGGGCAAATTTTTAGGACAAGCTCTTGTGTTCCACACACACACACAAGTCGCGGACGACGAGCGAGCGAACATACACATTACAGCCTCTGTCTGCCCCCCCCCCCCCCCCCACTGCACTCGTGCGATGTTGCGATACATTGAGCTATTGGTGTTGCTGTGACCTGCTATGGCATCGCTGCTGTGTTATTTATAATGACGCTAATTCTTGGAACCTCGTGGCCGGGGCTGTGTGTGTGCGCGTTTTTGGCTGTGCCTCTGCGGGGGAGCTTCGCCACCAACAGGTACACGAACTGTGCGACAATTTCTGCCACCGGTACATCAGCTGCCTGAAGGGCAAGATGCCGATAGACCTGGTGATCGACGAACGAGACGGCAACACCAAAGTGGACGACGAACTCTCCGGATCATCTTCGGGCACTCTGGCCGACCAGGTGAGTGCGTTATATTCGCTATTGGGACGGGGGGAGGGGGGCGAGGGGTGTGTACCGGTGTTGCGTTAATTGCGAGAATGTGTGCGTCTGTAACACAGCAACACACACCGCTACCTCACCTACATCTCTCTCGTCAGCGCTCTCCACACTCGCTCACCCACCCACCCACCAAGCCGCCCACACAACCAACCAAAATCCTTGTCACCGAACCACCATCACCACCGCCGCCACGACCCCCTATGGCAGTCGTCATTTCTCCGCCCTATAAACACGACGCACCCGCATACACAAAGCGCGGAGCTGTTTGCGCACGTGAAGCGTTGTGTAACGATACAGGTGTGTGTCGTGCACTTCGCGCTGAACGTCCCGATGCACACGGGGGCGGGGTGGGTGATGGAGGTGGGCGGGTGGTGGGGGGTGGTCGAGGGGCGGGGTACGTGGAAATATAGGACCCCCTGTAGCGTCGTGGAATGATAGAGAAAGATGTGCGCAGACGTGGTGCAGCGGTGTCTGTCCCAGCACCGCTGAATAGATGATGAATTGTAATTATATGGATGTGTGTGCGCGGGCTTGAAATGCGCAATTGCTAAGCTGCGCTCAAACAAAACGCGGCAAAGCTGCATAGCTTGCTGTTTTAACCACACGCGCCTAAAGACGCCTCTTTATAATCTGCACGGGAGGAGAATTTCAGTCCCAGCAGTGCGCAACAAGCAAATTATATTATCATAAACGGGCCTATAAATTGTCCTGGCGTGGCTCCGTTAGGCGCATAGCAGCTTGGCTGAGCTTCGCGAAATATTTTTTTTTTCTCTTTTTTCGTGAAGAATGGCACACCGTGGGTTTTTTTTGTGTGTGTCCGTATTTTACTCAACGCGTAGCGATCTGTTCAATAGCAGTGTTTTGAATGCGTTTAAGTTTTTACCGCCGACTTTTTGCAAGCTTTATTTGCTGCGCGCTCCCAAAAAATTGAGGACTGTACATTGTTTGTGGATTGCGGCTAATGCATTGTTTAGTGAATTACGTTAAATATTGTGATGCCACGTCTTTGAGTTATACGACACAAAATACGACAATTAAATGATGCAGTTTATTTTTACAGCGTGGAATTGTTATTGTTTTAAATATATAAAAACCCGAAGCGAATTCACACTTGAATCAGCTTCCATGTTGCATTGGGCAAGTCTTTAAAAAAGTATGTTTATATATATTTATTTTTATAAAGCCTCTGAGAATTATTTCAGCTCTTTGTTGGACCACTGTAATATTAGCCAGTTGTTTGTGCTGATTGCGTTCGTACCATAACACAGAATGAAAAATGGTCTGTTTCCCATAATAGTAATGAGTAGAAAAAGAATCACTGAGCTTTCATTAATACATAGCCAGGGCTGTTTTAAACTGAACCATGCATGCACCACGCAGTATGTATTATTCAATGCGAATGAGTTACACGAGAGACGGGACTTGTTGTTCTTGTGTATTATTAACAAAGCTCCGAGCAAAGAAATGACATCGCCTTAATTGATGGAGCTATGTTGACAAAAGTTGTTTTTGGGTTAGTGTGTTCCGTGACTATACAGAACAGCAATCTGGAGCCAGAGAGTCAGCTGATATATTCCCCGAATGTCGTCGAGTCAGTTCTTACGACTATAAAAGTTCGAACATTATACCACGTTTGAATGTGGGATCCCCCCCCCCCCTCCCCCGACGGACCACATCACTGCCAGGGAATTGATTGGTTTCACTCATAGGGCATGGTCAGAGTCCAAGCGTCGCGTTAGACGCTTACGATATCCCCCCTCCCACTTTTTCATCGGCGAACCGAGTAATTCGCCGCGTCCTCGTGCGAGTGTGACGCTAACGCAGTTAGAAAGCGGGCAAGATCCTCGCTTCCTGGCTCACATTATGGATGGAGCGGTGATTTTGTAAAAATTGTCGACGATGCGACCGACACGCGCGCGGCTGTTCGCTTGATTGGTACTGATTAACTTGGCGAGACTTGCTTGTCGACTTGATTGTCTAATTGGGGGGGGGGGGGGTAGTGTGGGGGGAGCGATAGATGTGTTTCAATCCTCGTTGCGTAAATTTGTGAGTGCGCAAATGAGTGAGCGCGCGATTGAATGATTGAGTGCGTGAATAAGTTGGTGAATTAGTTGAATTCTTGAATGGGTGTGGCGTGCGATTGAGTCCGTCCGTGAGCGATGAATAGATGCGTGAATGAGTAAAAGGATGCGCGAATGAGTGAATTCGCGCGCGCGAATGAGCCCCGTTGATTGAATTCGTGCGGGAATGAAGCTAAAGAATGCGCGAATGAGTCCGCGCTTGCGTGAGTGAGTGAGTTCGCGCGGGGACGAGTCGCGTGAATGAATTTGCGCGGTGATGAGTGAAAGAATGCGTGAATGAGTGAGCGAGCAAATGAGTGAATGAACGCACGAACGGGTGGGTGGGTGAGTGAGTGAGAGAGCGCGCGAGGGTAAATCGCTTGCATGCGCATCTAAGCGCTATCGGGAAGCCACCGAGAGTCTAAAGCAAGTTTTTTTTTCTTCCGTCTCGACGGAAGGCGATTGAGTCCACGTCGCAGCCGGATCCAAACGTCTCTTGTCAATAATCATTTACGGCAACAAAGACGACGATTTTCTTCCACCCACCGTAAGTCCCGAACTCCTGGCCAGCGCCCTCGGTGCATCGTGAAAACGGATCAAGGCGAGAGCCGTAAAATATCCTTTTGGAATCAGGGGGTCGGCAAACCAACGTAACAAGTAAAGGCATTTTTTTTCGGAATTCGGTATAAAACCCCAACCACCCCACCCCATTCGATATTTCAAGAGCCGCAATGCACTGTGGTGTATACGATACGGCTCTGCTCCTTGATACGTAACTGACACGAAGCAGCAGCAGTCCTTAAAGAGCCGCATGCGGCTCCCGGAGCCGCAGGTAGCAGAGTCCTTGTTTGGAGAATCCGAACATTGAACGACTGGCCGCTGTCACCGACGCTATGAATAGGCGCTGTGGTTGCATGTGATGTACAAGGTTTACGAGATGGTTAGCATAATTGTCTTCATGAGCGTGCTACACACATACAACACTTTGAATAACCCGTAGACTAACTTTCAGTTTGGATGCAAGGTATCCGGTGATGCCGCGCAACTTTTGTTGATATTTATAAAAAATTAATATCTTTATTGAGCAAATGGATAGCCGATTGTCTACTGTAGGTTCGATAATTTTCGAGTAACAGCGAATTCCTTAATCTATATCTAAGATGTCTTATTTGGTACATGTAGAGCAGATGGACATTTACGGAGTGCGGTGTGTGTGATTAAACATACCTGATGCGCTGTCGAACAAATCGCCGTTGGAGAGACAAAGGCGGCCGGAAGTGGTGCTCACTCTCCTGCACAGCGTTCTGTCCTTAATAGGTGCTCTCTAACACTGCTGGCTCCAATTAGCCATATGGGGGGGGGGTCTTTGTGTGTGTGTTTGTGTGACTTCATATCGGAATTTATTTCGAGCATTAAGTGATAATAATGCGTCGTAGTCATCGTCGTCATCGTCATCGCGCCAGTGACGGATACGCAATAAATCCTCGAGTTTATTCTCGCTTTGGTCGATGAGCGATTGGAAGGCAACTCGAATCGCCATCACAGCATTGTCTTTGATCTTTGATGGGAGCAACTTGAGGTTTTGTTGTTTGTATGTTTGCAAGGTACGGTGCGGAGCTGTAGTTGTATTTTGTAGTGCAAGCAGCAGCATTGCCATGAGCGCGGTCACATAGGTTGGCTTCCTCGTTACGGCCAACAATCGGCGGCGAGTGATGGCTGAAGCGGTACTGGCACACCCATCCACTCGACTTCACCAGTACGAACTGAACCAGCGTGGTGAAGTATGGCCAAACAACCCCCCCCCACCCCCGTGTCCGACGCAGCGTTGGAAGACCCTCACGCAGCAATGGATTTAGAAACGGCGAAGATGCATCTTCCTCGCTATTATACCCCCTGCGTCACTGCCCGCTGTTGCTTGTTATACTAAGTCTGCTGCACTATTTGAAATCGCAGCGCTCTGGAGCCGTCTCGTACACAGTCGAGTAAATGTTTTATTACATTGTGGACCCATTGGCTTAGCCCCCCCCCCCTCCACCGCTAATTCTTAAAGACAAGTCGCAGCTTTTGGCCGCATCCACCGCGCGTGATAGCTAGAGCACATTATCCAAGCAACGTACAACTTTTCTCACTCGATATTTTACGGAGCGCTGCCTAGGAAGGCCCTCGCTTGCGAGTTTGGTGGTGATCGTCGACGTAAGGCACTACCACTAGAGTACAAGCTACACACACACACACATCCGTAATCATCCTATATGTATTGCACGTTCTATTCATATGACCTTACGGGGCAGGTTTGATGCGTGAATATATATAGAATACGGCGAGATGGATTTGGCGTGCCACAATTAATTTTGCGGAGGAGCTTTAGCGGCATGCCCGGGCTGAAAGGAATCACTGCCGGTAGGCCGTGGGCCACTCTGTTTTGTTGTTTATAAAGCAGCCGAGGCTTTTTGTGTTGTTCTTGAGGCCTCCCCCCCCCCCCTGCCCCCCCCCCCCCCCCCACTATTCAAATTGCTGTGCGCAGCTGTTCGCTTGTATCGGCTGACAAGTGGAGTACCGCATGAGATTTGGTCGAATACCACCGCTAGTTTGCTGCGTCGAATGCGTCATTGGCACCAGTGTTATAGCGGGCACTGTCCATCGATGGTCATGCAAATAGTGTTTGTCGTTCCACTGCTGGATAAATGCCTTCCCGTGGACGTTGTAAAGCGAGCTCAGAAGGAGAGAGCATCAAATCAACACGGTAACCACTCTACACGCTAAATGATTCGATGTGAGAATTAAAACAATAACTATTGTTCGCAGTCGTTTGTCAGCCTACTGCCGGATGAAGGCTTCTTCCACGCGCCGTCCGCCGCAGTGGTTACTTGAGCATACTTCACCACGTTTTGGTGGAAGGAG